GTATGGTAGTGAGAGTGAGAGTGTCAGATTTGTCTCACTTCGCAATGAAGATTCCTGCCGAGTCCTGCTGTTAACTTTTCTTGCCTCCCTATGTGGTCGCGCTCAAAAGTAGATGGCCGTCGTCGCGATCGTGGTTACATACGTCTTGAAAGATACCCCTCGTGGAGCCGGCCGTTCCCACAAATTACTTCTTGTGTCTTCCCCGGTGGGTCCTTGTGTCAGTGACATGCAGAGGACTCCAGCAGGGCCGTAACGTGCCTTTTCTGTAATTGGAAAGGCACGTCCGTGGTCCTCTTCGATGACTGTTTCCAATAACTTTCCTCCTGCTCCTGAAAATTTGTCTTATGCTGTCCTGTTGCTGTCTCGTAGAAGGGCAGATCTCTATTCGAATCTTAGACGAGTCTTTGTCTCAAAGATTCCCTCTCTCCGTTTCTCCGCTCTCGATTCCAACTGGTAGAGGACGTGTAGACCTGTGGGCATTATCCCACCTTCTATCGCAAACGGCTGGATAGAGCCCAGATGAAATCGTCAGAGAATGTGTTCCGATCTCTCGACCTCTCCCCCTGACCTTGGCACGTAGAGGATTTTGTCATCCGTGAGAATTCTCTGCCCGTTCCTTATCCCAGGTCGCCCTCACCCTAGATTTTTTCCTTCTTGGATTTTCCGGAATTTTCCGGAATTTTCCTTAGTCCTCCCTTAGATCTTGCCCGCCTTATCTATGCTCGACTCTCCGATGTATGCTCTCTTTCGTCTACTTTGGCCTGTTGCTTCCCTAATGCCCAACGAAATCTTGTTGTCCCGAAGTTCATAGTAGTCCTGTCGCTTTCGCTTCTTCCTGTAGCTTACATCCCGCTCCAACTGGTAGAGGAGTTTATTCCCCTAGCGATGCTATCCCGCCGTTCATCCAATGGAGGGAACGGCTAGATAGCCATTCCTGTTTGCTCCTGGAAGCCTAGCTAGATAGCAATTTGTAGAGGATCACGGCTGGATAACAGCTAAACAGCTTGCGCCTAGACGCTGGGCAGCGCCCCAACCTACGTGGCGCAGTACCCCAGGTGCGCACGCAGAGTGCTGGACTCGCAGTTTGCGAGGTTGCACGACACGGGGGTGCAGCGTGAAAATTAGCGCTGTGTTGCGCTAACCGAGGGCGCGTGCGCTCCTCCACGAATTGAATTTCTGTATTCGCTGAGTAGAGCAAATCTTGTAGATGAGTTGAAATAGTTGCTGCAAACAGACCAGATATTAAAATTCCATGGCATGCAAATCTGTGTGGGTGAATCTGCGGCCCCAGCCTTGCTGAAAAGAAACTCGTCGCCTGGTCCGACAAATTTGGGGCCGGCACACCGCCGATAAATTTCATCAACAATGGCCGGCATCACGTTTTGGGCCTCCGAAAAAACAACAACATTTGAAAGTTCAGAGACTGAAATGAACACCAGCACTTGGGTCCCTTGAAAGTTGCATGGGAATCAGGCCCACTGTTCCCTTCAGCAACAAAAGAGGAGCTTTACTTCCTTTCCCTTTTTTATAAGACTTGCTAAAATATCATTCAGTCAGAACCTCTGGACTGCTCTCAGCAAGTCTTACACTTCAACTGGCACATGAGAAAGCAGTACTATGTTGGGGTTGTCCAGGAATTTAGGCTAAAATTGACGATGCTTGGATGGCTATAGATGTTGGAGGACCTGAAAATTTGTCGTTCTTAAACCCTCTCCTCAGGCAGGGACGGACGCACACAAGAGCTCTCTTCAACCTGTCTGTACGAGCATCTTTTACCAGGACCCTTTCACACATCCACGCTCTTGTCACTATGTCCAGACTCTCCACTAGTCACTTCCTCTTTCACCTCCCATCCTGATGCTGGTTTGGTTGTGAAGTTGTTAACACTATGCATCACAAAGCACACTACAGCATGTTTCAAGAGCTCATGCCGAGAATTACACACTCAAAACATAAACACTTTGTTTACACTATGAATCGTGAAGCACACTATACATGTTCAAGAGCTCAGGCCGAGAATACACACGTAAACATAAACATTTGAGCCTTTCAATGGGGTTACCGCACTGCCACTCGATGGGGGAACTATACCCTCATGACGAACAGGAAGACTCTGCTTCTCTCTCCTTGTACCTTGTTCCACACCAGCAGCCAGAGCTTCCACCTCTTCCCTTCTCCTTAGCTTCTACATTTGTGCTACTGTGGTGCTTTTCCTTAGACTACAGATCTGCAGTATGTGAGGCAGAAACAACATAGCTACTCTGCACTATCCAAGGCGGTGCCGCACCACCTCAAGGGTGGTGCCCCTTAAGAGCTGCAGAGGTGCTAGAGGACATATAAAGTGACTGGACCACTTAGTGCTAACTCCAGCTGAGAAACTTAGCAGTGCCCTACCTGAATGCTGCAAGACTGCCATGCTACCTGGTGCTACTCTGCTGACTTGTTGAGTTTCCTGGGATGCCGATGCTACCTGCTGCAATCCGCTATTTTAGAAGAGAGTCATGGGCATTCTTCGGGCATAGTTCAGATAGCCTAGGAGTCTGCGTATAGTTGATTCTCTCTTCTGCTTAAGCAGGAGTACGGGATAATTGCCTCTGATAGATTATCGCAGCGGAGTCAGTCTATAGCTGATTCTCTCTTCTGTTTCAACCACCACTATGCCGCACCCTTGGCCTTCCGTACTCTCTGGTTAACGCCTGCTGCAGAAAGTTCTGCCCGACCAGATCAATTAGTCTGGCAGCACCAGGTGGGCCCTTGCCTGCAACGGTTTTAGGACTTCACAGCGCAGGCAAAATTGGTCATTGGGAAAGAGAGGCTCGCCAACAGTGGTGATGGTTTAACAAGGCCTACAATACCTAAGAAATTGTTGCATCCGGGTGCCTGAATATGGAGACACCTACATCACACGTTATTTCGAATTGGCAGAGGAGACTTAATAAAGCCGACGTCCAGATTCGAGTTTGCCTGCGGGTTATGGTTCATTTCCCTTTCTGTTTAAACCACCACAGCCCCTGCCTCTGAACATGGAAAGATGCACTGCCATATTTTTGCTCTTTTGCAGATGTGGTGAGCAGTAGAAAAGAGGGACGTTGGGTCTCGGTCCACCACTCACCAAATGTTTAAAATGAGAATGAATCTTCCACTAGAACATGGAAAGATGCACCGCCATATTTTTTGTCTTTTGTGCATGTGGTGTGCAGTGAAGGTCAGGCCCATTGGTGTGCTCTTTCTCTTCGAATGAAGCACGATCATCATGGGTCCACGTGCATACTTGTCGGTGGCCTGGGGAGACACCAGCCGCCCTTTACTCGATAGCATCTCCATCTCTTTCCCCCGCACGACTGCCACAATGTTTCATTACCCCCCACCTCCACCTTCCTCTCTACTCCACATCTCCGCCTACATCAAAGTGTGCGTCCGATGATGTCCGACCTGAGGCCGCTCACGCATGGGAAAAGAACTGCCCCCAATGGCAAAAGGAGGGTCAGTAGGAGAGGACTGGCAAAAGTGACGTCGGTTCATTAAAATTGGTTTCGGAGCAGTGGTGGCTTAACGCCCTGCCGCAGAAAATTTCGGCCTACCAGGTCAATTCGACTGCAGCACCAGGTGGGCCCTTGCACACAACGGTTTTAGGACTCTACGGCATGGGGCAAAATCCATCACTCGGAAAGAGAGGCTCGCCAACAGTGGTGGCCGTTTAACAAGGACTACAATACCTAAGAAATTGTTGCAGCAGGGTTCCTGAACATGGAGGCACCAACATCATGTGTTATTTTGGATGGGCAGAGGAGCCTTAGTAGCATACTTGCAAGCAGACGGACCGGACGAGCGTCTGGTCCGGTCCGCTTTGCCGCGTGCGGCACCCTCCCCCCGGACCAGACGGACCCGGACCAGACCGGACGGAGGCGTTTGTTTGTTTGTTTGTTTTTGGGGGGGGGGCGTAACTGGTCGTCGGGCGCACATTCGTGCGCCGCGCGGGTCCGGTTCGGCGGTCTGCCGCACGTGCGGAACCGCCCGGACGGCGTCCGCTTGCAAGTATTCTTAGTAGAGGTGACGTTCAGATTCGAGTTTGCCTGCAGGTTGTGGTTCATTTCCCATTCAGCCATTTTCAGATTCTGCAAAAGCTCAAGGGGATCTTCACTGTTCAACCGATTTCCAATATTCTTGTTCTTTACGGGCTGGATTCTCAGAATGAAAGCGAGCTACCAAGCCCATCTGGCTGAACGGTACACACATGTACTGTTGATAAACAAATGTTTGTTCGAATCTTGACAGAATCAAATAAACAACTCTAACTCTAAATCACCTGGGACCGGTCAGTTGACAAGGTGCCTCAGGGCTGTTGTCCTTTTGAAAAAGCACAAATAAAAACACAATCAAAGCGAGCCGGTACTCTTGTCTACGCGTACTCGAACTCCACACCTTGCTGTTTCCTGCACCTGAGTTTCATCCGCCCGACATGCGAGATAACACAGAAAGCATGCACAGTATGGATCCTAGGAACAAGTTGATACCAGACAAATGGGCCTATGGCAGTTCAACCACATTCAGTTATCAGGATGCCACAGGAGACTAAGTACTGCATACAGGTGAGTGAGAACAGAACAATCCTTTTGACTGTCATACAGAGAACTCGTTTCACGATCTACTTACCTGTACCAGAACTTTAACACCTCAGAGATCCCATACATCACACACTCACCTTAACAAAGGCAGACACCTCAGCAGCAATTGCCTCTGTATCTGGTACACTTCCTGGCACGGGTTCAAAATCCTCCAAGTCGCTTCCCTCATCCTGCAACACCCAGAGCAACACTCAGCATGCAATGATATGTAGTACTTGACAAAGACAAGTCCACAGTGTAAGCAGATAAACCCATTCCTACAGTTATTTGGGGCCTGTGTGGAACCATCGGGGCGGGCCTTGAAGTCCCATATATTCAACAACAAAACTGACAGCGTCGTAGCAGCATAACTAGATCAACACCTCCCCTACAGGTGCCCTGACCACTACGCACCCGTGGAGTGTTGGGCGAAACCCCAAAACCACACAAAGGTATTGAGCTTCCATGAAATCGTAGATGACCTCACAGGTTTGTAAAGAGAGGCCATACTGGTGCTTTGTTAGTGGTTGGAAAGCATGAACCCGCTCGTAAAAGTGGCCAGGTTCATGCTAGCACAGCACAGCGGGTAGGCCGGTACCGCACCCGGCAGGGGGGTAAATATGCAGGTACCGGAGACCGAGCAGAAGAAGACAAAAGTGGCATTTTTAGAGGCCGGTAGTGTAGGCTAGGTCTAGCAGGTACCAGTCTGAGTCTAGGGCCTGTAGGGGCAATATCAGAGTCTCCAATGATGTTCCCTCCAAAAGGAGGAAGAGGTACCGGTTGCTTGGGAAGGCCAGCGGCCTGGAAGTCACCGCCCAAGAGGCAAAGCAGGCCGCTATATTTTCCGGCCGGGCGGAAGACCCGGCCTCTTTTTCAGTGTGCAAGTTTGGCAACACACTGGTGGAGCGCTGGAGGGAGCAGCGCTGGGTTGGAGCTGCGCTGCTGGGGAGGAAGAAGAAGGACTAGAGGGAGGAAGAAGGAGGAAGGAAGGAGGAAGGGGGAGGAGCGCCAGGGGTACTTACCTGGCTATGGTGGCAGCCATCTTCATCACCTTGGTGGGCGCTGCAGCAAGGAGTCCCCAGCCGGGGAGAGCTACGCCAAGAAGCTTTGAGGCAGGGCTGGGCATGGCGGCCTGAGCTGGAGCAGTCATAGCTGCTCTGGGTTGTCCTTTGGACGTCGGAGCAAGGCCTAGTAGTCCACCATAGCCTCGGCCTATGTGTGTGAAGAGTGGGAGAGGCAGCCATGGCTACGGTGGACCATGAGTGATCCCTGCAGTAGAAAAGGGACTCGGACATGATTCTGGACCAGTCATTCAACATTGTATTATTATTTCTTGTATGAATAAGAGAAGGGGGGGGATAAGGAGGACGAGATTGTTGGGCGAAGAAGAAGAGCCTTCTCATTGTCTTTGCTGGTGTACATCTTCTTCTTCTTCTTTCTTACTTCTTCTTCTTCTTCTACTCCTCTCTCTCCTCTCAAGTTCATTCATTTCTTTCTGCAATTGGATGGCATTGTACTTCTCAGTGGATGTGTATCTCGAAATTGGCCAGGGTCATAACAGTACCCTCAAAACAGGACTGTGCGGAAAGTCCCAATTGCACACACACAACAATACAAAGTTATTCAGCCCCCAGTAGTTGCATGTATCTGCAGAGACTGCCACATTGTCCCGAGTCTCCCAAGACCTGTTGCACTCATGAGTTGGTACGGCTGGCCAAGGGACAGGCCGGGCACTCTCAAATCCAAACCCAGTTGCCGGCAGAGAGCTCTCGCAGTGCTCTTCCAAGACAGTGTGCTCCGAACGGGAGTTCTCACAACTACTGAAATTCTTTCTTTTAACCCCAAGTCCAAAGAGTTAGCAGTGTGACGAAGCAGAGGCAGAGCAGCGAGGCTGGGAGAGAGAGGGAGAGGGAGAGCACACACACACACTCACTCAACTCGACGCAGACTCGACACGACTTGACGGACGCAGACACAAAGTGGCAAAGTCACAAAGTCGCAGTCTTGAATTTCCGAAGACAGTATCGAAGGAAAGTCGCACTGAACACAAGCACTGAGGCTGAAAACTTCGTGTCCATACTGGGCTTGAGTCCGTACATAAGTACCGGACTCAAGTACGGTCCTGAGGGCAAAAGTGAAAATGCCTCAGGGCCAGAACTGAAAATCGAAACTCTGAGAGTGGGTGCCAGAATGTCGGATGGCACCAACTATCCAAAATCAGAAAAGCAAGAATCAAAAGTTTCAAAACCAAAAGGAATTGAAAAACAAACAAAAGAAAACAAATACAGCAAGCTGGCGAATGGTAACCCGCAGACCAGGGATCAAGCCCTTGCGGTGTCCATAACACTATCCCCTCCCTCTAGAAGGCAACGTCCCGGCTGCCAAAAGTCATGAAAATAACGTTGAATCCTGTGAAGGACGGGACAGGGCCGAGCGCCGGGAAGCGGAAGAAAAAGGGACAGGGGTATAATGTGGATAGCAAGGGCTGGGGTAAACAGGGTTTTCCTACTGATGACCTACGGGGTATGCAAAATGGTCTGGGTGAGAGGCTTGAAGCAGGTCTTGAAGTAAGTCCTGGTATGGATAGACAGAATTGATGATAAACCAGTCTTCAGAAGGCTTGCGACGTGTAGTAGCCAGGTTTCCAGCTTGAAAGTAGTGTAGCAGTCCAATAGATGGAGGTCCAAGTGCCAGGGTGGGTCCCGTACACGATCCTGATGAAGTCTGATCCGGAGAGCAGGGCGCAGACTGATCCTGATGTCCATGTCAAGAGAGGGGGGGGGGGGATCGGAGGTTCTGCAAAATGGTCTGGGTGAGAGGCTTGAAGCAGGTCTTGAAGTAAGTCCTGGTATGGATAGACAGAATGCTGATGATAAACCAGTCTTCAGCAGGCTTGCGACGTGTAGTAGCCAGGTTTCCAGTTTGAAAGTAGTGTAGCAGTCCAATAGATGGAGGTCCAAGTGCCAGGGTGCGTCCGGTACACGATCCTGATGGAGTCTGATCCAGAGAGCAGGGCGCAGACTGATCCTGATGTCCATGTCAAGAGTACTGCTCCAGAAGTCTGCGATTCCAGGTGCCGGCCAATGGGACCGCATGGTGGCCAACCAGCTGCTTAATCTCCTCGAACTGTGCTGCAGCAGCCCATCGTCCTCGGGCGCTTGCCATTAGATCCTTTATCGTCGGCGATGCACAGGAGCCACAGGTAAGGCTTGGACAAGAGAGACAGAGGATGTGGCAGAGGACAGATTGGGGAACGAGATGGAGACAAAAGAGCGGATCAGACAGGGAGAGGTCGAGGGGCAGGGGGGTTGCTGGGTACAGGGGGGGGGTGTAGAGCAATGCGGCAGGGTTTGTGCAGGGTATATGGGTGTTATGCGTAGTATATAGCTAGGATACAGGGTGAGCACAATCATAGGCACGAACAAATTTCATGGCGTTCTTGAAATTGTCGAGGGGTTCCCATGTGGATTCTTCATCTGGGTAGCCGGTCCATTTGACTTTGTATTCAGTGATTGGTTCCAGGTGATCGGATAATATAAGATATGATATTCATAAGATATGATATTCTCTATTTATATTTATACTAAAAGGGCCTTTACCCGATATAGGCCTCAGGCCTTGTAAAAATAGAGCAGCACGGGCCTTGTAAAAGTAAAGAATTGGGAAAAGGTATCTTGCCAGGGCTCAGAAACGTGAAAACAGGTCCAAAGTCAAGTTCTCTATCAACAGGCACATCTAAATCTAAGGCAAAGGGCATTGTCAAAAGACTTACCTGTTCACCAGGAGATGTGTATGTCATGTCTGTTCGAGTAAGGGTGTGTCTGTACGTGTAGGCAGTGTACCTGTTCGTGCAATGGAAAGTGCCTGTTCAAGTAGTAAATGTCTGTTCGTTTAGAGTTGTGCCTGTCCGAAAGTGAAGTCAGTAGGCACAGTCCCAGTTCTGGTCTAAGTCAAGGGGTCAGTCCAGATCCAGACTTTCAAGTCCAAATCCAGGCCGAAGTGCCTCAGCAGCAGTTGAATCTCATTGGGACTGTACTGGGACACATGCAATGCAGGGTCTGGGACACATGCAATGCAGGGTCTGGGACAAAGGGAGAGGCTGAATTGACCCAATGCAGACCCAGCGAGGATTGGCCAGCACTATAAAAAGAGCTGCCTGCCTCATTCCTCGCCAGATCTCCACTGGCTGCAATGCGTGGAAGTGCTGGTGCACTTGTGCGCTGAGTCAGGAGGAGCAGCGCTGGAGGAGAAGACGCGCTGGAGAGAGGAAGATGCCTGTACACTGGAAGTGATGCAGCCATAGCTGCCCAGCGAGCTAGCATTAGTAGTAGAGGGTTAGTATGTAGCTATGAGTAGTATCCAGAGTAGATCCTCATGAGTGTTGAAGAGTGTGTATGCATCATAGGAGGAAGGGATTGAGGCTGAGAGTGTTCATTCAAGGTTGGCTATGGAAGATACTTACCTGAGTTGGATGTGACCTGCAGAGGTGGCGCTGATGAGTGGTGACCACATTGATGACTTGGAGACTATCTGCAGGGGTAGCACTGATTCACTGGAAGGCATATTGATGAGTTGGCAAGATATTGGTGTTGTGTTGATGAGCGCTGGACTCAGGGGAACGTTGAAACACTTTGTATTCATATTTCTGATAATATAAACTGTGAAACTCGGTCCTCATCTTCTCTATCTTTGTCTATTGTCAGACTACTGTTCATTGTGTGTGGGAGTACGATGCATGGCATGTACACACTTGCGTGAGATGGTCCCCAGGACCCATGCAATTTTTGGTATCGGAGCAGATGCTCGCTACACTCATA